CCTGTTTACTGAGCTGTAAGTTGGTATTGGCTAACAATTTCATCTCTGCAACATACTGTTCAGTTTTACCTTCTGCATCCAAAATCTTTTGTTTCAAGTCTTTATTGGCATTCTCAGAAGAAGCTAGCTTCACTACAATCTGATTAAGCTCTTCCTTCACAGCTGCATATCTTTCATTTGCTTCAGCTAGCTGATCTTGACAACTTTTAACTTGATTTTCAAGACTCGTTAATTTCTCTCTCAAAGATTTTGCCTCAGAATCTCTTCTGGTGAAATTAGCTAATGCTTCTTGGAGTCTCTGCTCTGATTCCCTTGTTAGAGTTCTGTATAATGATTCAAGCTCTATGCTTCTCGCAGTGGCTTTCTCAAACACTTTACCCTGTTCTTGTAACTGCTCCTCGGTTGACTTGAGCTTCTCAATAACTTCATTTTCTCTCATTCGTGCCGCCTGGAGGTCATTTTCGATGATCTCCAATTTCTGTTGAGAAATACTCAATTCATTCCTCAAAATCTTCAAAAAGATTTTCCGTTGGAAAAATATTTAATTTGCCATGGGGGCCGACATATATAATTAATTGTGTATAAAGGCTATTTTATAGTTAAACCCAAAATTAAAATGATCTAATAAAATATTAAGTAATTGAGCTTTGGACATCCAAATAATGTGTGGGCCGGATTACATGTGTAGAGATCGGATCCATTAGGATTGTATTTGACGATGACCCAAGTACATACGGAAACTATATAGAATTATGGTCCCTAATTCATATGAAATTTCTCATTCTTTGTGTCATCACATCAATACAAGAATATAAGAGAAAACATATTAACTTTATAGAGGAGAAAGACAATTTCGGAAACTTTATAGTCTTTCTTCAAGAAAATAAAGATGGTATTGAATTGATGGAAGAAGATCTGATCAATTAACTTTCATCGAGTCATGCAAATAAATAATTTTCAAGAGTGGATTGATACATGAATAAAAAGATAAAGTCCATGAAAGACAATGAAGTTTGAGAACTCATCCCATTGTCTGAAGGTGTGAAGCCCATTGGTTGTAAATGGATATTCAAAACCAAGATGGAGATGGATTCAAAGAGTGATGTTGAGAGATATAAGGCTCGTCTCGTTGCAAATGACTTTACTAAAAAAGAAAGGCATTGACATTAAAGAGAGTTTCTCTCCGATTTCTATGAAAGACTCTTTTAGGACTATTACT